AGGTACCCCTGGGGGGGACAGGCCCCCAGGCCAGTGGTCCCTGGCAGTGCCCACCTCAGTGCGGTGGGTGCTGGGCTGGTGGGGGCTGAGTGCGGGGGAAAGGGGGGGCAGCACAGCCCCCCGCCCCCCCCGGTGCCCCCCAGGCCCCCGGATCCCATAGGCCAAGGTGACAACAATGGGCCGCAGCTTATCCCGGATCCCGTCCTGGGGGGACACAGAGATGAGGAGGAGGACAGAGGGAGGAAGGTCAGGGGTCACTCAGGGATCTGGAGGTGTTGGCACAGCTGGTGGGGGCCGTGGGGGTAGGATTGAGGAGGGGGATGAGGATGGGGATGATGAGGATGAAGGTGGAGACAGGAATGGGGATGAGAAGGATGAAGATTGGGAATGGGAACAGGGATGGGGATGCTGAGGATGAGGCTGAGGCCAAGGCTGAGGGCAGTGAGGCTGAGTCTGAGCACCCACGTGCAGCTGGAAGGTGGGGGTGATGCAGGCCCGGCTGTGCTGCCGGGGCAGCTCCAGGGTCCCAGAGAGCTGGTGCTCAGGGTCCGTGGGGCCACGGCTCAGGAACAACCCCCGAGGGGCTTGGCCACGGCGCCGGCGCTCGGTGTCCACGTCCAGCACGAACTCCAGCTCTGGGGACACAGAGAGGGGGGGCATCAGGGAGGGGGGGTCCATGGGGCTGGGGGTACTCGGGGTTGGGACGCTCCCGGGGCTGGGGGTCCCTCCTGGGGGCTGTCTCACCGAGGCGGGGGCTGTAGGTTGCAGGACTGGCCGTGTAACTGAAACAGGCTCGGACCTCCACGCTAGGAGGAACATGGGGTCAGACGGGGGGGAGGGATAGTGACCCTCTGGGCCCATACCCAGGGTGGGGGTGCCAGGGGGCTCGGGGGCACCCACCAGATGCCCTCCCGGTGGCGGCAGTTGCTCTGCTCCAGGTCGATGGTGGGGGGCAGCAGCGACACGTTCCGTGACACGTGGACCACTGGGCGGGCCCTGCGGGGGCAAACGGGGTGCTAGAGTGGGCACCCCCCTCCTGAGGGCACCCCGAGCTCTGCAGGGACCCCTAGGGCAGGGGATGCTCTGAGAGAGGTTGAGGGAGTCGTGGGATGGGGGGGTCCTCAGGGAGGGGGAATGCCCAGGTATGTGGGGCATCCTTAGGGATCCAATCCGTGGGACTGGGGGGGGTCTTTGGGGATGGGGGCAGTGCAGGGTTGGCAGATCCTTGGGAATGAGGGTCCTCGGGGATAGGGGGGATGCTCAGCCTCAGGGTTCCTCAGGGCCAGGGGCTCCCAGGGGTGGTCCCAGGGCAGGGTCTCACCTGTAGAGCACCACGGTGTCGGACAGGGATCCCACCAGCAGATCAGGGTACAGGTTCCCGTCCACGTCCAGCCCTCCCGACAGGGAATACCCGAAGGTTGGGACCCCCACGGCCTCCCCGTCCAGGACCTGAGGACACCGGTGGGTGACAGGGGACCTCACGGGGGGCCCTGGCTAGGGCAGCCCCCTCCCCACCGCCCCCCCGCTCACCTGGGCCGGCCTGGCTGCGATGCCCAGGGCACTGCCGTGGTAAATGAACACTTTGCCGGCGCCATCAAAAGGGGCTCCCACCGCCAGGTCTGGAAGGGCAATGGCAGCTGGGGAGGGGGGCACAGGGCCCTGTCGGGACCCTTGAGGGGGCAGCCCCCAGTGCCACTATCCCCCTGCTTTGGCAGGACCCCAGAGCCCCACTGAACCCTCCCTTCACCCTCAACCCCACCATGGTTGAGGTCTCCAGTGCCATCATCCCCAGCCCTTGGAGACCCCAATTCCCCCCCCCCCCCCCAATCCCCAAACCCTCAAATCTGTCATAGTTGAGGCCCTTGAGGACCCCAAATGCCCCTTAAGCCCCACCAAAACCCCTCACCCTCAAACCCATCGTGGTTGAGGTCCCCGGCTGCGCTCAGGGCAGTTCCGAACATGGACCCCCGGGTGCCGTTGAGCCGCAGGGGGGTCACATTGTCCCAGAGCCCCCCGGGGTTGATGTAAACATAAACAGCCCCCCCGATCTCTTCCTGGCGCTCGAAGAAGTGGGGGGCCCCCACCACCAGGTCCATCCACCTGAGGGAACATGGGTCTGTCACCCCCCCTGAGCCCCCCAAAGTGTCCCGGTGCCCCCAGACACGGCACTGGGATTTTTAGGGGATTCAGCGATTGGGGGGTCCTTGGGGATCGGGGGGGACACTTAGGGATGGGGGTCCCGGGGGTGGGGGATCCCAGGGATTGAGGGGTCCTTGGGAATGGGCAGGGTCCTCAGCCTGGGGGCACTCAGGGGTCTGGGGATGGGAGGTCTTGGGGAACAGAGGATCCCGGGTTGGACTCTGTCCGGGGGGGAATCTCACGGGGGGTCCCCCCGCACTCACCCGTCGCTGTTGAGGTCGAGCACGGCCAGGGCGTGCCCGAAGGCTGAGCTGAGCTGCGGCCCGGGCAGCACCGCCTCGGGCACCAGGCGGTTGGCGCTGTCACGACGCAGGATCACCACAGCCCCGGTGTGGTTGGCGCGGGGGGCGCCGGTGACAAAGCTCAATCCCCCCCGGCGCGTCAGCCCCGCGCCCGAGTCCACGGAGAACCCTTCGGGGAGGGGGGAGAGGGTTGGTGCCCACTCGGATCCTGGAACGCCCCCGCGGCCCGTCCATCTGTCCGTCCCACCCTCTCTCTCGGCTCGAGCCGTCTGGGACCCCCGTGGGCATGGGGGATTCCCCTCGTGAGAATGGAGGGGGATGGGGGGATTCCCCTCATGGGAACGGGGTGAGTGGGGGGATTCCTCTGATGGAAATGGGGAGAATGGGGGGATTTTGCTCCTGGGAATGGGGGGATTCCTCTGGTGGGAATGGGGGGCCTATGTACCTCAGTGTCCCTGCTCTTCTTGCCTGGGGAGGGCAGGATCTGGGGTTTCCCCCAGCTCGGGTGGGGAGCGGAGCCTGTTGGGTTGGGGGAAGCGAGGAGCAGCCCCCCAGCATTGCCAGAAGGGAATGTTTGGGGTAGAAAAGGGCAGATTTTGGGACCAGAGCAGCAGATTTTGGGCTGAGAGAGCGGGGAGAGCCCCTTCCCCACATGCAGCTATTGCAGAGTGCAGCCCCCGCAGCCCCTACGGCCGCCTGAGCCCCCCAACAGCCCCCTCGAGCCCCCAGCCAGGCTCCAGCCGTCCCTCCCCGCAAACCGTGCACCCCTCCCCATGCAGAAACATCGCCGGGAGGACAAGCAGGGGGACGGGGGGTGCTAGGGGGACACGCCAGGCTCAGGGATCCGTCCCCCGGGCTCTGACCACCCTCCCCCAGCCTGGCAGTGACCCCAGCACAGCCCAGACACAGTGACGGGACACAGGACGCGGGTGGGGGGGGACAGGAATGGGGGCACAGGGATTGGGGACACTGGGATTGAGGGGACAGGGCTGGAGGGACAAGGAATGGGAGGGGACAGAGATGGGAGGTGTGAGGGGATGGACACAGGACGGGGGAGGTGTGCGGGGGGGCTGTGGCCACATGTGCACGACTGCATGTGCGGGGGGGTGCAAAGAGAGAGAGAGGTGTGTGTGGGGACATGGATGTGAGGGGGGATGGGGGCAATCCCCAGGACTGGGGACAAGTGTGTGCTGGGGGGATGTGCGTGTGTTTGGGGGGGACGCATACCCAGAATGACACGTGTGCACGGGGACATATGAGAAAGGGGACATGTATGTGCAGGGTGACATGTGTGTGCACACGTGCTCCCACAGGGCCCCCAGAGCCTGGGTCTGTCCCCACGGGTGACATGGGTGACACAGCACAGGACACGCTGCAGGGAGGGCACACACGGCACACATATGGCACACACATGGCACACGCGTGGCACAGCCGTGGCACACACGAACCCATGTAGCTATTGTGGGCCACGTCGGGGGCGGCGCCGGGGACCCTCTCGCCGGGCTGGGGGGTCCGGAAGACCCTCTGGTCGGGGGCGGCGCTCTCAATGTTTGTCACAAAGAGCAGCCCTGGGGGGGGGGGCGGGGGTGTCAGGGCGGGCACGCGGGGGGTGCGGGGGCCGCGGCAGCCGGAGGGGACCCCCGGGCCGGGCCCCCCCGTACCGAAGTAGCTGTTGGCGGGCACGGGGATGAGCGAGGGGTCCTGGTCCTTCTCCCCCCCCGCTTCGAAGGGACCGGCGTCCGGGCGCAGCAGGTCCAGAGAGCTCTGGTTGAGCTGCTCCACGCGCAGGGTCCCTGCGGGGGCCGGGGGTGAGAGGGGCAGGGGGGGCCCTCGGGGACAGCACGGGGACACTCCTGCTCCAGGGGGCTCTGGTTGAGCTGCTCCACGCGCAGGGTCATCTGCATACAATATGTGCACACCCAGCCCACCTGCCCAGGCAGATGTTGCACTCACACCCCTCACACACGCAGCCCCTCATCCGCTGGGGAGGCATCCGGGCTGCCCTCTCACCCTTCCAGTTGTACATGCCCGGGGCTCTGAGCAGGACCCACCTACACCCCACATCCCCCTCTCCTGGGCAGCCCCTCGCCCCTACGGGGAGTTCCCGGCCCCCCTCACCCTTCCAGTTGTAGGTGCCGGGGGCCCCGAGCAGGACGTAGCGGCGGTCGGGGCTGAACGCGGCCGCCAGGCCCTGCTGGCAGGTGCCGAAGCGCTCGTGGCCCTGAGGCCGCCCCTCGCAGAACTTCCACTCGCCACCGTCCAGCTCGTCCCGCACCCGCAGGTCCTGACTCAGCACGAAGCACCTCCCGATCACGTCCCGCGTCTCCAGCGGCTGTCGCACCCGGTGCCGCACCTCGTACCGATGGGCGCAGGTCTGGGGGCACCCAGAGGGGTCACGGGGTGCCGGGCCCCCTCCCCCAGAGCTGCCAGTGCCCCCTGCCTCCCACCTCGGCACCTACCACGATCTTCCCTCCGGCTCCTTGGCTCTTCACGCTCACCCCCAGCCACTGGTTCTCTTTGCTCTCCCGCTGCGGGTCCACTGTGGGCACAGTGAGGAGGGTTAGCCCCGCCGGAAAGCCCCGCCGGGACCCCCTGCACCTTCCCCGGGGAGCACAGCTCACCTCCCTCATCGATGGGCACCCGCCAGCAGTCGGAGAGCTCGGGGGTCAGCGGGCAGGCGAAGAGACCCCCGGTCCGGTTGGCACCTTGGCTGGGCAGCGCCTGCGCCTGGGGGGCCCCCACCAGCAGCCTGGCAGGGCACGGACCCCCGTCAGTTGCCCAGAGCCCCACCGGGGGCCCCCCGGAGCCGTCACACGCCCACACCGATGTCCCCGTGCCCGGGCTATGCCAGCCCAGCCGAGCAGCTGCTGCCCCAGCACCGTTCCCAGGCCTCGGCCGCAGCTCAGTGCACGGGTGGGTGCAGGGGGGACGCACATCCGGATCCCCCCCGGCACTCCCCGACTGTCCCCGAGACAACAGCGTTGGGGGCACCCTGAACCCCCCCCAGACCACCACCCCGGGGTCCCCGAATGGTCACACTCCGCAGGACAAGTCCGGTGCCACCCGGGGCTCCTCGGTGGCCACAGGGCACCTGCAGCCACCCCCGGCCCGCCTGCCCCGGAGGGGTTGGTGGCCTGGGGACACGGCCGAGCCCCGGGGGGTGGCAGAGAGGCAGAGCCGGTAAAAATAAACTGGAATTCACTCAAAATAACCCCGCAGCAACATGCCCAAAAAAGGAGGGAGGCACAGGGACGCACCGGGTGCCCCCCGGAGCCGGGCCAAGACACCCTGCGAGAGGACCGGGGAGCACCGGGGGATGGGTGGGGGCTGCGGGTGCGGGGCCGGTGGGACCGAGCCCAGCGCGGCTCCGCAAACATCCGCAGCGGCCACCGGGAGCCAAAAACCGCCCTCGGCGCCAAGAACGTGGAGCGTGAGGGAGTCGGGTGACAACGGTGACAACGGCGCCACCGGGGGCACGGGGACGGTCGGGAAAGGGGGGCAAGAGGGGGGCACACGACGGTGACACTGCCCAGAGACCTGCCAGCTCAGGGGCTCTCCGGTGCTGAGACCCCCGGCAGGATCCCGGGGGCTGCCAAGGGGACATGGGGAGCCCCACGGGCTGTGGAACACGGGGACACGGGGGCTGGGAGACGCGGGGACAGGGACACGGGGCCGTGACGGGGGTCTCGGCAGCCGCGGGTGGGCGTTCGCCGCAGCGGCCGCGGGGGAGGCCGCGGTCACGGCCTGGGGGTCCCAGCCGGGGGGGTCCATCCACCCGAGCACCCCAGGGATGCAGCGATGGCCCCCCAAACCCCCCCAACAGCCCCCCCAGTCCCCGTCCCCGGTTAATGCTGAATAATCCCTGGCCGCGCAGGCGGTGACTCTGCGCCTGTTCCCGTCCCCTCGGGGCTGCAGTCTGGGTGGGTGGGTGGATCGGACCCTCCGAGAATCCCGAGGACCCCAGCCCTGCTCTCCGGTTCCTCCAGCCTCAGGGCTCCTATCCTTCCCATTGCCGGCTCCCGGGCTCGCCCAGCCCACGTCCCTCCCGGAGCCGGGACTCCCGGTCCTGCTCCAGCCCTCCAGTCCCGGAGCACCAGATCCCCCCCAGTCCCGGGACTTGCGGTCCGCCCCATCCCCGAGGTGGGGTGCCCCCACCCCAGGTGACCGGTTCCCCCATCCCCGGGGGTCGCACTCCCGGCCCCTTGCACTCACCAGCCCGCCGGTTCGGGGCTGAGCTGCCGGTGCAGCGCCACGGCGGCCCCGAAGAGGCTGCCCCGCTCGCCGTCCTTCAGCACGGGGCTGCTGCCGTCCAGGTTGAAGGCGGCGACGGCGAGCAGCCGCAGGGCGACCCAGGGCAGCCACCGGCACCGCCACCGGGAGCGTTCCCGGGGACCCTCCATCTCGCCACCGCGCCCCGGCCACGCCGCTCCGCCGCCCGCGGGAGGAGCCCGGACTGTCCCGGGGAGGGGGCTCGGCCCCGGCCCCGCCCGCCCGCGCATGGGAATCCCCCGGGAGTCCCACCCCGGCATGGGGCTGAGCATCGCTACACGTGTGGTAGGGACAGCTCCGTGTGGCAGGTGCGGCATCCATGTGGGACTGACTGCACCCCACAGCACAGGGGCTGCACCCACAGCCCATGCACCCCACACTCATCAGGGGTCCAACGGGGGTACACAGTGACCTCCCCCCACTCGGCAGAGTCCCAGGGGCACTAGGGACCCCCCCCCCGGTGTCTCCCAGCCCCAAACCACTGCCCATCACTGGGCAGTAGAGGGTTGTGTGGGTGGGAGGGATCCCAAAACTCTGGTACCCCACTACCTGCAGCGATATCCCAGTATTGTGGGACACAGCAGACGGAGGGGGGGAGGACCAGGACAGCCCCTCTGAGGTCCCCCTTCCACCTCCATCCTTGGACTGGGAGCAGAAGAACCGTCTGAACCCCAAAAACAGGAGGAGAGGGTCCCACACCCCCATTCTGAAGGGGCTGGTGCCCGTGTGGGCTCCTGGGGGGACATGGGGGGTCAGCAGTGCCAGGACCCTCGACATCATCCAGGACATGGGGGGTCAGTGGTGCCAGAATCCCTGGGAGCAGCTGTGACACCAGCTTGGCCCCAGGCACCCCACAGCCATTTTTGGGGGGGGACTGGAGGGAGTTGTCATGTTTTCCAGCTCCCTGGCTATTTTTATCTGCTCTCCAAAGAGATATTTGGGAGCTGCCAGGGCCATGTGAATGAGCTCCAGTGCCACTGGAAGCACCCCCAGCTCCTCCTCCCCACCTCTGGGGGGCACGAGAGCAGGCCCAGGAGGGTCTGTGCCCCCATTTCCCCCTCTCAGATCCCCCCACACTCTTCCCACTTTCCAGCCCAAATCCCTTCTCGGACGTGGGAACAGCCTGGGAGCGGAGGACGGGAATAGACCCATTCTCAGGGGGCTACTTGGCCTCCTGCCCCCCTGGCAGGTTCCCCAGGGAAGAGGATGTGCTGGATAACTGGGAAGGACGTCGAGAAGAGGGATAAACCAGGATTTGGGGTGGTGATGGCACAGAGGAGACCCCCAAATCTGCTCCAAGGAGTAACAACCCAAACCTTGCCTGATATGAGCTCCTGAGGCTCTTTTCCCTCAAAATGAGCTGAACTCGAGCTCTGGGATGGATCCTTGGGGGTCCCGGCCTGGAGCTCCCCCCGTTCCTGAAGATGTGCTGGAGGCAGCAGCTGCTCCTGATTAGAGCCCAGGGATCCTTTGGGATGGGGATTTCCAACCCCAAAACTGTCCCACGACCTCGTCCCACCTCGGCATCCCTGGACACGAAGCCTCCATCCCGTCCGTCCCATCTTCAGGGGGTTATTTTTGGGACAAGCGTCCCAAAAAGTGAAAGGATGTGCACATGGAGCATGAGGCTCGTGGGGCTGTTTCCCCCCCCCCCTTTCCCACCGCCCGCACAGAGGGAGCAACTGGGGCCGCGCTCATCCCGCTCCCACAGCTCCAGGACTGCGGCCAAGGCTTTGATGGGATCGGGAGCTCCGAGTGGGCGACAGGGAAGCGCTCCCTGGGGAGCGGAGATGGGAGCGGCGCTGGGGCGGGGCAGGGATGGGAGGGAAGGAGGGAGGGACACTCTCCGCGAACTCTGGGAAGGGCTGGGTGGGATCCAAGAATCCGGGATCCCCCCGGAGCACCGTCGGCGGACGGGGAGAGGGACGGGAGCAGCTCCCCATCAGCACATTCGCAACGGGATGAGCACCTGGAGAGGTGTCACCCCCCTGTGGCACCTGGGCGAGGGTCAGTTGTCCCCTGCAAGGTCCCCACCGGGCACTGACCTCCCGTTCCTGCGGAAGGCGGGGCAGGAATTGCCGGGAACGGCGGTCCCTGCCCACCCCAAACCTCGCCGAGACCCTCCCGGAGCCAATCTCGGGAATGGAGGGGGAGGGGGGGGAAGAGGAATCCCGACAGTTTCTCCCCCCAGTCCCAAAACTCCTTGGCTCCCGGGATCGATCCCGGAGCCGCTCCCGGGGCTCGGCGGGGCTGGAACCGGAGTCGGGATTATTTTTACCCTCCCGGGTTTATCTCCGGCCACGTTTCGCACTCGGGTTCTGCGGGAATTCCATCAGGTCCCTGCTGGAAGAACTGGGAGCGGCACCGCGGGGATGAGGAACCGAGAGCTGCAGGACCCTGAGCCCCCTCCCCACTTCACCGTCCTCATCCTCCCTCCCCAACGCGAGGGAATGATGGATCTTCCTCCTCCTCATCCTCATCATCCTCTGGGGCTGTTGAACCCCGGCTTTTATGCCTTCCTCATCCTTCCTCCCCCTGCTCAGCCTGAGGGAACAACAGGATCTTCCTCCTTATTATCCTCCCAGTTCTGGGGCTCCTGAATCCTTCTGCTTTCCTCATCCTTCCTCCTCCTCCCCAAGGGAAGGGTATGTCCTTCCTCCCGCTCCTCTTCCCTTCCCCGGCTCCCAGGGTGACCCCAATGTTTTTTCTGGCAGCCCCCCCCTCCCGGCTCTCCTGAAGGAATTCCAGGAGCACTTTCCTGGCGGCGGCTCCGGCTCCAGTCCCTCCCTGAGCGGAACAATTCCCGAGGATTCAGGGCCGGGAAGGGAGTGGCAGGGCGGGAATTCCCACTCGGGAACACCTGGAGAGGAAAAGTGTGTGTGTGTGTGGGGGGGTGTCATTCCAGCAGCCCCTGGAGTGCAGGACCCTCTAGACCTCCCCAGTCCCCTACAGACTCCCCTCAATCGCCCATAGCCCCCCCCCAGTCCCCCATACAGACCCCTTATAGTCCCTCCAACCCCCTGGCCCCCCACAGCCCCCCATAGCCCCCCGGTCACGTGTCCCCACGCTCTGTGTCACGTGCCGGTTGGGGAATCACGTGTGGGTGACGTCACGGTCACATGTCCCGGTCACGTGTCCCGGCCATGCTGTCGCGGCTGCTGAAGGAGCACCAGGCCCGGCAGAGCGAGCGGCGCGAGCTGCAGGGTGAGCCCCGCCCCCGTCACCATGGCGCCCGCGACGGCCCCGCCCGCCATTGGCTGCGGCACCTGCCGCTCACCATGGGCCGGCGTCCCATTGGTTGGCGCCGCTGTCCGTCAAGGAGGGAAGCGGGAGGGGAGTAGTGTCGCGATGACGTCACGCACGAGCATACTGACGTCACGGGGTCGCGGGGGTTTGGGGGTCCTGCCTTATGTGTGTGTGTGACCCCCCCATCCCCACACAGAGCGGCGCCGAAGGGACGCGATCGCGGCCGCCACGCGCCTCACAGAGGCCCTGGTCGATCATCTCAATGTGGGGTGAGCCTGCAACCCCCGGACTGGGGACAGCTGACCAGGGACCCCCGCATCCCCAGCCCCCCTAGGGACCCCCAAACCACGGCTGGGAACCCCCAAACCCCCTCTGGGGACTCCCTGACCCCCAAACCCCTGCCTGGGGACCCCCGAGCCCTGCAGGCCTTCCTTCCCAGGGACTTCCAGCTTCACAGAACCCCCAAGCCCCCAGCTGGGGCCCCCCCCTAAGATCCCCCTCACCCCTTCCCCCCCAAAACCCTGCCCAACACCACCCCCCCCAACCTCTTCCCAGCTCTTTGTCCCTTTTCGGGGGCTACCCCTGCCCTGGAGGGTGTTGGGGCAGGACCCCATGGCCTAGCCCCTCCCGTGCCCCCCTAGGGTGGCCCAGGCCTACGTGAACCAGCGCAAACTGGACCAGGAGGTGAAAACCCTGCAGGTGCAGGCGGCCCAGTTTGCCCGGCAGACGGGGCAATGGATCTCCATGGTGGAGAACTTCAATCAGGCCCTCAAGGTGGGAGACCCCTCTCCAAAATCCACGGCCCCTGGGGGAGATCCCACTCCCGACCTGCCACAGGGAGGGAGTCACTCTGGGACATCCCTGGGACTGAGTTGGGGCACTGAGGAATGAGGGGATGGGGCACTGGGACAGGGGGGAAAGGTCCCCTGTGGTCTTTGGGGGGGGGGGATGCAGCCCCCAGACTCCTGGGTTAGTGCTGGAGTGGGTGGGCAGCACCAAGGCGTCTTGGGCAGCATCAAGGGGGTCCTGGGTGGCATCTAGGGGGTCTCAGGCAGCAACCAGGGCATCCCAGCAGAATCCGGAGGGTCTCAGGGAGCACCCAGGGAGTCTCACCAGCCCTATGGGTCTGCATTTGCCAGAGGGAGGGGCAGAGACGCTCCAAATCCCTGCAAGCCCTCCCTCCACCATGGGACCCCCCAAATCCCTGGGCCCCCATGGGATCCCCCCAAACCTCCAGGCCCCCCTGTCCCGCAGGAGATTGGTGATGTGGAGAACTGGGCACGGAGCATCGAGATGGACATGAGGACCATCGCCACCGCCCTCGAGTATGTCTACAAGGGGCAGCTCCAGCCCTCCTCCTGCTCCTGAGGGATCCCTGGGACCCCCAGCACTGCGGCTGCTCCCGGCACAGGATGGGGGTCCTGCAGCAGCAGGTCCTAGAGTGTACCCGGGGCCCCCAGCCCTGGGAATGGGTGGAATAAAGTGTGGGGAGCTCAGGGGAGTGGGGGGCCGGGCCAGGCACCGGCAGGACCCTGGTACAGGCCCCCCTGGTTCCCCCTAAGCCACCTCATCCTCCTTAGTGCTTAACTTGGCTCAGAGGCTCCTTTTTGCTCCGGACAAAGGGCCCGTTCTGGGCTCTAAATCCCCTCGGGGGGGGGGGCCTCTGGGTGATGCCCCCCCTATTTCCAAGGGCTGGGAGGGATCTAATCCCCGAGGGGAGGGGGTGATGGCCCCCCATCCCCCAGGGCTGGGAGGGGGTCCCAGGGTCTCTGTGGGCAGGGCTTCCTCCATGGGGAGGGTCCCCCAACAACGGGAGGGGGTCTCCCAGCACCCCCAGAGCTGCTCAAGCCCCCCCCTCCCCCGGAGTGTTGCGGGGGAGGGAGTTCAGCCCACCGAGACCTTTGGCCGTGCTGGGCACAGGGAGGAGCAGCCATGGCCCCCCCCCCCCACCTCCCCAGCTCTCACGGGACCCCCCTTACCACACTCAGCCCCTGCGCCGTGGCCAGAGCAGCGCCTGGAGCCCTGTGCCCTCAAGAGGTAGGTGGGGACCCCCCTTTGCACCCTGACCCATGGGGGTCTTCCAGGGGGTTTCTGACCAGAGAGGGGGTTCTGTCCCAGGGCTGGGTGAGGAGAGTTTGTCCAGGGTGGGTGGGGGCTCCTGCCCACCCCCCGCCCGGCTCTGGGGGTGCAAGACAGTGTCCTCCCGCCCTTTGGTGTCCCCCTAAACATGAGAATGGGGAGCAACGGGAGTCCTGACACCTGTCAAACCCCCTCGGGCCTTCTGGAAGGGGGAACAACTCCCCCCTGGCTCTGGGGACACAAGACAGACTGTCCCCTCCCTTTAATGTCCCCCCTCAAACCTGAGGGTGGCAAAGGGGGTCCCTCCCACCCCAGCAGGTTCATAATTCCCAACAAGCAGTGAGGGGTCCTGACACCCCCAAAACCCCTCAGACGGGGCTCCTGGACAGGGGTCCCCTTGGGGCTCCCTTCTCCACGAGGGGTGGGGGGTCTGGGAGGGCCCCAGGGGTCGCTCCTGCTGCAGAAGGGGCCGTGGTGGGGCCCCCCCAGAACCCCCCCTGGCGCTGGGTCCAGCCCAGGTGGTGACGCACGACCGGTTAATCCAGGCTTGGCCGCCTGCGGGCCTGGCCTGGCCGCGGGGAGGTGGGTCAGGGACCACGGGGGGCTTGGGAGGCCCACCCCCCCTGAGCAGGGGGCCTGGGGGGACCAAACACTACCCTGGAGGGGACAGGGACGCCCCCGGGGTCACCCGTGTGCCCTGAAGCACCTGGGCACTGAGTGCCCCCCTTTGCCCACCCTCCACCTCAGGGGGGCCAGACCCCCGGGGGGGCCAGAGTGGGCAACCCTAAATGAGGGGTGAGGGTTTGGGGCTCCTCTTGGGGCACAGGGGGAGTCCTGGCAGGGGTCCCACAGTCCCCTGCCCTGGTGCAAGGCTGTATGTGGTGCTGGTGGCACTGGGGCAGGGTGGGGGTCCATCCAGGCTCCACCCAGGCTGCAGGGGGGTCCTGGCGAGGGTCCCACAGCTCCCCCGCCCTGCAGGCCCCCCCATGTGGCTGTACGTGGTGCTGGCCGCCCTGGCCTGGGTGCTGGGCTGGCTCGTGCGAGACCACCGGACCCTGCCCTCGGTGAAGGACAAGCATGTGTTCATCACGGGCTGTGACAGCGGCTTTGGCAACCTCCTGGCCCGGCGGCTCAGCCGGAGGGGCTACCGAGTGCTCGCTGCCTGCCTGACCCCGCACGGCGCCGAGAGCCTCCAGAGGAGCTGCGGGGGCCACCTCCGGACCACCCTGCTGGATGTGACCCGCTCTGACAGCATCCGCAGGGCTGGGGAGTGGGTGAGGGCAGAGGTGGGAGAGAAAGGTGAGGACAAGGGGGGCACGGGGGGTGGGGGGCACAGGGAGGGGCTGTGGGGTGGGACAGGACCTGAGGGGTCCTCAGGGAGGATGAAGTCCCCAGGGAGGGGCTACGGGGCAGGATTAGGGGTTCCCCACGAGGGGTTAAAGAGTGCAACGTGGCGGGGGGGGGTATCCCACCAGGGCATCCCAAGGTGAAGGGCGGGGGGGTGCTGTGGGGAGCCCCAGAGATGGGCTACAGGATGGGGGGGGTCCCAGCAGGGACAGCCATGGGACAGGACAGAGGGGAGGGTCCTGCCAAGGCACCCTGGAGGCAGGATGGAGGTCCTGAGGGAGGCACAGGGATATGGAGGGAGGGTCCCACCAGGGCACACCGGGGATGGGATGGGGGTCCCGGAGGAGGTGCCCTGGGGCAGGGCCATGGCAGGGGGACCACACCCCCTGCCCCCCACAGGCCTGTTCGGGCTGGTGAACAATGCTGGAGTGGCCAACCCGATCGGCCCCACGGAGTGGATGGACATCGAGGACTATCGACGGGTCATGGCCGTCAACACCTTCGGGGCCATCGAGGTGACGCTACAGCTGCTGCCACTGCTCAAACGGGCGCGGGGCCGGGTGGTCAACACATCCAGTGTCCTGGGCCGGGTCTCAGCCAACGGCGGCGGCTACTGCATGTCCAAGTACTGCGTCGAGGCCTTCTCCGACAGCCTGCGGTGTGTGCCAGGCCCCACCCGCCCTGGAGCCCCCACTCACCCTGACCCCCCCCATGGTGTCCCAGAGCCCCCCTGATTCCTCCTGTGTCCCCCAGAAGGGACATGTACCACTTTGGGGTCAAGGTGAGCATTGTCGAGCCCGGGTTTTTCAAGACGGCCGTGACCAACCTTGACGTCCTCGAGGCATCGCTGCAGCAGCTCTGGGAGCGCCTGGCACCCGAGACACGGCTCAGCTATGGGGAGGACTTCTTCCAAAAATGTGGGTGAAGGGAGGACTTCTTTCAAAAATGGGAGGGGATAGGGGGCTTCCAAAACTGTGAGGGGGGAAGGGGGGGGCTGCTGTAAGTGTGAGTGGGCAGAGGGCTCTGCCTCAATTTCCCTCCTCCTGAACCCTTTTCTCCCTCATCCCCCTGAGCTGCCTCAGTTTCCTTCCACACCAGCCCCATTTCCTGCATCCTTTGCATCCACACGATGCTACACCAGGCGCACCAGCTCATCTCTGCCTTGGTTCCCCCTTTCCTGACCCTCCTTTTTCACACTCCCCAGACCTGAAGGTGCAGAGGTTCATCATGACCCTGATGTGTGACGGGGACCTGACCAAGGTCACAGGGTGCATTGAACATGCGCTGGGGGCGCGACACCCCCGGACCCGCTACAGTGCGGGCTGGGATGCGAAGCTGCTCTGGCTCCCAGCCTCCTACCTGCCCTCCTGCATCGTGGATCTGGTCCTGGCCACCATCCTGCCCAAGCCGGCCCACCGTGTCCGTTAGACCCCCCCCCCCCGACTTCCCTCTGGAGGCGGCAAGGCCCCCAAAGTGTGGTGAATAAATCCCCTGGCCTGACCCCTGCCTGCTCGGGGGCTGTTGGGGGCTGTTGGCACTTGGGGATTTGGGGACATTGAGGTTGCACATGGGCACTTGGGGACACTGAGGTGGCACTCAGGGACTGTTGGGGTCACTGAGGTGGCACTCAGGGACTGTTGGGGTCACTGAGGTGGCCCAGAGAGCCCCCAGAGCCCCATAGGGCTGTGAGAACCCCCCAAGGGTAGTGAATAAACCCCCCAGCCTGCTTGGGGACTGCTGGGGACATCACAGTGACACATGGGAACTTGGGGACTCTGACACGGCACATGGGGCCCCCACCCAGGAGGGTCTTTGTCCCACCCCGAGGGACCTCCACACTCCTCCACTCCCAAGGGGCACACTCAGCTCTACAGAAGCTTTTTCTCTTTATTTCCACACCTGGAACACTCCCCAGTCCCCCCAAGCAGGGAACCCTCGGGGGGATGTTGGCACATGGACCCCACTCTGGCAGAGCCGAGGGGGACCCCCCAGGACCCCAGAGCACCTCTGGGGGTGTTGGGGTGGCTACATGACCTCATAGCCGCTGCGGATGCCCCTCATGAGGCAGCAGGCGAAGATGATGCCCAGGATCTGGGGGGGGAAAAAGGGGAATCAGTCCCACATGGGGCAGCAGGGAGGAGTCAGTCCCACTCCAGAGGGGTTGGGGAGCAGTCCCATAGCAGGGGTGTTGAGAAGGCCCCACATTGCAGGGGTTCAGCCCCACACTGGGGGTCTCAGCCCCACATCCCACCTCAAAGAAGGCAATGCCCAGAGCCACTGCGGCCACGACCAGGATGTTCTTCTTCATCCACCCCTCGATGCTCTGCACGCAGCCCTGGGGGGCACAGGGGGGGTCAGGGGGCTCAGGACCCGCCCAGGGCATGGCAGGGGGGTCTGGGAGGGGGAGGTCTCACCTTGGCGTAGACGGTCGCAGGGCTGGGGTGGATGTTGCAGGTGGTGGTGTTGACGCGGCAGCACGACCTGGGCACAGTGTCATTGGCCTGGAACTGCTCGATGTTGGCCCAGTCCGTGTAGTTGATGGCCCCACAGCAGTTGAACTGAGAGGAGAAGAGGGGTCAGGGCGGGCTGGACATCCCCCCGGCACCCCCACCCGGATACTCACGTTCCTCTGGAGGTCGTCCAGCCCTTCGGTCACCGCTGGGTCCTTTCCGTACTTGTGCATGGCCTCCTGCAGCCCCTCGTTCAGCACCGAGCGCACCTGGGGGGGGATGTGGGTCACACCAGAGCCGAGGGGGGGTCCCCAGGACCCGGGGGGGGCTGTGTCCCTGTCCCACATGTGCCCACCTTGTCCTTGAAGACGTATCCGGCGATGGCAGCGGCGATTTCCACCAGGAAGATAATGCTGAGCAGGACAGCAAACTGGGGGGCATGGGGGTGGTCAGGGGGTTCACAGGGGGCACGGCGGGGGTCAGGAGGGCCAGGGGTCACAATGGAGGTGGGTGTTCACGGGGGTGGAGGGGGGGTTGTAGAGGCAGCATCAGGTGAGGTGTCAGAGTGAGGGAAGGTCATGATGGGGGTTACAAGGAGAGATTTGGGGGGGTGTCAGGTATTTGGGG